TACCTTTAAACCTACCTTTAAACTTTAAACTACGACACACGTACCGAACAGAAATTCGAAACCGTGTCATTTCTCCATTGCTTTCCATTCTATCGCCGTCAGTCCGAACAAATCATCAGATTGGTCATATTACACGTTTATTTAAGTCCTTTAATCCTCTTTTACTATTCTGCCACAAGAGAGGATTATCTAGTCGTAATAATCAGCAGCACAGTGTTCAAATCCCAGTGATCCGAGAGTAAATTAACAAAGCTTCAGATTCAGATCCGATGATATTCAAACACAGGAAGAAAGATGCTGTTAATCGTGGTGATGATGGCAGTGATATTAGTAATTGTGATGATAAGACTGACGATGATGTTAATGCAATGGTAATACAGTATGGTAGTAAAAGTGATAAAGGCAATAACAATAATGATGATGATAATGATGATAACGGTAATGATAATAATGTTAATAGTAATAATGATAAAAACAAAATGACGATAATAATAATGATGATGATATGATAATAGTAATGATTAAAATGATAATGATGATAACAATGATAATGATTGCAATAACGACTATAATGTCATGAAATAATGATAATCATAATGCTAATAGTGTTAATGAGGATAATAATGATAATGATAATAGTGATAATGATAATATTAATGCTAATACTAAAGATGATAATGATAATAAAAGTGATAGTAATGGCAATAGTCATAATAATGATAATGACGATGATGGTGATAACAAGATAATAATAACAGCAATAATAATGATAATGATTATTATTATAATTGTAATCATATTTTTTTAATAATACAAATAATGATGATGATGTGATAACAGTAATGGTGATAATAATGGTAATAATGATAATAACAATAGCAACAACAAAAATAATGATAAAAATAGTAAGTGATAATAATGACGATAATGATCATAACGATAATGATGATATTAATAAAAACATAATGATATTGATAATAATAGAAACAACAATGATAATAATGCTGATGCTGCTAATAACGGTGATAATGATAATTAAGATAATCACTTCAGTTAAATGGTAATGATGATAACGTTGATAACGATACTAAGGATAATGATAACAACAATAATATTAATGATAATAATAACGATAATAATGGTAATGATACTAATAGCAGTCAGAATGATAGTAACATAAACATTAATCTCCTTATGTGCCACTTGATGGATCGTCAGACTATCCTTTAGTTAAACAACGAATAATAGGTCACTGTTATTTCGTAAATGTTCAATAGAGCTGATATATAAAAGAAAGGGAAATGTTGGATGTCATTGGTAGCAAGTGAATATTTTATATCTTTGATACATACACTGACACATACATACACATATTTTTGAAATGATTAAACAAAGCAAGAATTGAAACGCGTAAATATACTTGTCTGATGTTTTTACACATACACTCACTTATGCAAACACAAAAACACATGCTTTTCCAGTGTTTACACACAGACACTCACTCATTCATACACACACACACATACACACAAATACACGTGCACAAACATGCTCACACAAACACACACACACGCACACGCAGATACCTCCCTGATATTTTCACACACACATACACATACTCACACGGACACGCAAATACCTATTTTCACACACACGCGCACACATACACACACACATGTTGAACAAACAGCAGGTAGAACAACGAAGGGAAGTACAGGAAAACACACGAGTATGCCGAGGACCTTTTCGCATTTACTGCTTCATCAGGGTATACAGAACAAGAGATACACAGAAGTATATATACATGTTCTTAGCGGTCACGTCACGTTGGTGATCAGGTGAACGACGACCTTGGCTCTGTCGTGGCTGCCCGTTGCGGTGTTGAAGTTGTTGGTAAAGTGTATGTATGCCGCTTCTATCATCTTCCTTTGTCGTGGGGGCAGGTCTTGTTTTATGATGGTGGCCTGGGACCACTTAGGGAGGTGGCCGTCGGTGTCGACGTGAACAACGAAGGCGCTCCTCCTGTCATGTCGTCGAAGGGCGCTGCGATGTTGGTTGATTCGTTGTTCGTGGAGGCCTCGTCCTGTCTCACCTATGTATACTTTATCGCAGCCGCCGCAAGGAATGCTGTACACCTGGCTAAGAGGTCTATTGTAGTCTGACCTCTTTTCCCCTACGATGTCTCCGATCTTCTTCACGGACGTGGTAGCTATCTTCATAGTATGGCCCAATAGGGCCTCCAGGTAATGCGTGGCGTCCCCTCTTGATCTGGACATGATCTTTTCTGCCTTGCGTCGGAGGTGGGCGAGCAAGGTGCGAGGGTAACGGAGGCGTTGGAATGTGTTGATTACGTGTTGCATTTCCTCCTCCAGGTATTCCGGGCTGCAGATTCTAAGTGCTCGGAGGAAGAAATCAATGACCACGCCTTCTTTGGTTCTATTGCTGTGGGCGGAGAAATAGTGTATAAAATCATCCTTATTAGCTGATTTTCTGTACACAGAGAATACCGGGACGTCAGGTCTTCTATGGATTATGGTGTCGAGGAAAGGTAGCTGTTCGTTTCTCTCCTCTTCCGTGATGAATTGTATGGATGGGTGCACTGTGTTCAGTCTACGGAGGAGGTCTTGAAGGTTAGTCCTGGTCGGTACTACAGCGAGGATGTCGTCTACATATCGGAGCCAAACTACATTCTTCCCCACAATGTTCCGGTAGTGGTCAGCCTCGAGGGTTTCCATGAACAGCTGGGCGAGGACTGCTGAAAGATGTGAGCCCATCGAAGTCCTTGGATTTGCTCGTACTCACGTCCTCGGAATTCGAACGGGCCAAACTCCACGTAGAGTCGGATGAGTGCGACGAAATCATCCCTCGGCAGCGGTAGTTCATCCTCGTCCATTCCTGTCAGCGTTCTTTTTGCAGCTTCGATGGCCCCGTCAATCGGTACGTTCGTAAAGAGAGACTTGACGTCAAAGCTGACAAGCTTTTTGCATCTCATCCCGACGCTTTGCAGCTTTGTCATCATATCGGTGGTGTTTGATAGATGACAACGGGGAAGAACGTAGTTTGGCTCCGATATGCAGACGACATGTATATATACTTCTATGTATCTCTTGTTCTGTATGCCCTGATGAAGCAGTAAATGCGAAAAGGCCTTCTGCATACTCGTGTGTTTTCCTATACTTCCCTTCGTTGTTCTACATACACACGCACACACACACACACACTCACATGTACATACGCACACATACACATTCATGCAAACCCATACGGATATACATTCACACATACGCGCACGCTCGCGCACAAACATATAACTTTCATGCAAACACACGGACACACAAATAACCTAACAACACATTCACAGATACATACACAAACGCACGTACATACACACACACTGACGCACACACAAGTAAATGTGTATCCTATGATACATGTGTATGTATATATATATATATATATATATATATATATATATATATATATATATATATATATATATATATATATATATATATTTTTTTTTTTTTTTTTTTTTTTTTTTTTTTTTTTTTTTTTTTTAGATTTTTTTACTTTTATTTATTTATTTATCATTTTTTTCATTTCATTTTATTTCATTTTTCCTAACTTTTCTACAAACATAAAAAAGCATCCTGTGACACACACACACATATATGTGTGTGTGTTTTACTTTTATTTTTTTTTCATTATTATGGATTTGCTCTTCCCCCGAGCTTCTTCTTGTCTTTCCTTCGGTTTTTCTTCTCCATCTCCTGCTTTCTCTCAATCTCCTCCTCCATCTCCCGCCTCCTCCTCCTCTCCTCCTCCTCCTCTCGCTCCTTCCTCTCGTCCAAGCGCTTGGCTCTCCCGCCTCCTCTCTGGGCGCCCTTCCGGTTTTTCTTCTCCTCCTTCCTCTCCCTCTGCCCCAGCCTCTGCTTCTCGGCCTCCGAGGACGGCGAGCATTGCTACTTCAGCTGGCTAAGGTGTATGGTGTTTGGTGGACTTGTATGGTTTATGGTGGACTTGTATGGTGTTTGGTGGATTTGTTTGGTGTTTGGTGGACTTGTATGGTGTTTGGTAGACTTGTATGGTTTACGGTGGACTTGTATGGTTTATGGTGGACTTGTATGGTGTTTGGTGGACTTGTATGGTGTTTGGTGGACTTGTTTGGTGTTTGGTGGACTTGTATGGTGTTTGGTGGACTTGTATGGTTTATGGTGGACTTGTATGGTTTATGGTGGACTTGTATGGTGTTTGGTGGACTTGTATGGTGTTTGGTGGACTTGTATGGTGTTTGGTGGACTTGTATGGTGTTTGGTGGACTTGTATGGTGTTTGGTGGACTTGTATGGTGTTTGGTGGACTTGTATGATGTTTGGTGGACTTGTATGATGTTTGGTGGACTTGTATGGTGTTTGGTAGACTTGTATGATGTTTGGTGGACTTGTATGGTGTTTGGTGGACTTGTATGGTGTTTGGTGGACTTGTATGGTTTATGGTGGACTTGTATGGTGTTTGGTGGACTTGTATGGTGTTTGGTGGACTTGTATGGTGTTTGGTGGACTTGTATGGTTTATGGTGGACTTGTATGGTTTATGGTGGACTTGTATGGTGTTTGGTGGACTTATATGGTGTTTGGTGGAGTTGTATGGTTTATGGTGGATTTGTGTGGTGTTTGGTGGACTTGTATGATGTTTAGTGGACTTGTATGGTGTTTGGTGGACTTGTATGGTTTATGGTGGACTTGTATGGTTTATGGTGGACTTGTATGGTTTATGGTGGACTTGTATGGTGTTTGGTGGACTTTTGTGGTGTTTGGTGGACTTGTATGGTTTATGGTGGACTTGTATGGTGTTTGGTGGACTTGTATGGTTTATGGTGGACTTATATGGTTTATGGTGGACTTGTATGGTGTTTGGTGGACTTGTATGGTTTATGGTGGACTTGTATGGTGTTTGGTGGACTTGTATGGTGTATGGGGGACTTTTATGGTGTTTGGCGGACTTATATGGTGTTTGGTGGACTTGTATGATGTTTGGTGGACTTGTATGGTTTATGGTGGACTTGTATGGTGTTTGGTGGACTTGTATGGTTTATGATGGACTTGTATGGTTTATGGTGGACTTGTATGGTGTTTGGTGGACTTGTATGGTGTTTGGTGGACTTGTATGGTTTATGGTGGACTTGTATGGTGTTTGGTGGACTTGTATGGTGTTTGGTGGACTTGTATGGTTTATGGTGGACTTGTATGGTGTTTGGTGGACTTGTATGGTTTATGGTGGACTTGTATGGTGTTTGGTGGACTTGTATGGTGTTTGGTGGACTTGTATGGTAATAGTGGTCTTGTATGGTGTTTGGTGGACTTGTATGGTGTATGGTGGACTTGTATTGTGTTTGGTGGACTGTTTGGTGTTTGGTGACTTGTATGGTGTTTGGGGACTTGTATGGTGTTTGGGGACTTGTATGGTGTTGGTGGATTGTATGGTGTTTTGGTGGTCTTGTATGGTGTTGGTGGACTTGTTTGGTGTTTGGTGGACTGTATGGTTTATGGTGGACTTGTATGGGTTTGGTGGACTTGTATGGGTTTGGTGGACTTGTATGGGTTTGGTGGACTTGTTTGGTGTTTGGTGGACTTGTTTGGTGTTTGGTGGACTTGATGGTGTTTGGTGGACTTGTATGGTGTTTTGGTGGTCTTGTATGGTCTTTGGTGGACTTATATGGTTTATGGTGGACTTGTATGGTGTTTGGTGGACTTGTATGGTGTTTGGTGGACGTGTATGGTGTTTGGTGGACTTATATGGTTTATGGTGGACTTGTATGGTGTTTGGTGGACTTATATGGTTTATGGTGGACTTGTATATGTAATATACATATTTTTAATAATAATAATAATGATAATAATGATAATGATAACAATAATAACGATAAACCGATAATAATAGCAACAATAATAATGATAAATGATAAGAATTTCCGGTAATGTACGGAATTAGGTAGCATCTTTATCACAAGCAATCAGTGCGATTGAACACACGTCAACGAATCATGCAAAATACCTATGGACAAGCTCGGTCTCATACCTCTCTTTGTGCGTATGCAAATGAACACATGTGACAGAATTCGCACATCAGGTTAATTCGAAAAAGGGCGCATACGTTTCCGGGTTTGGGGGGGGGAGGCAATTCCTGAACACTTCCCCCCCACCCCCCTTTCACTCCCTCCCCCCTCTTTTCCCCCTCTTTTCCCCTCATTTCCCCTTCTTCTTTTCTCTCTTTCTCTCTCTCTCTCTCTCTTTCAACCCACCACCACCCCATATGTTCTCCCTTTGTCCTCCCCTTCCCCTACCCCCCCCCCCTGTCATCGCCCCTCCTTCCCTCTGCCTCCTCGTCCGCACGTGAGCGTCACGGAAGGAGGGAGACGGAGAGGAGAAAGGAGGAAGAAGGAGATGGAGAGGAGAAAGGAGGATGAGGGAGATGGAGAGGAGAAAGGAGGAAGAGGGAGATGGAGAGGAGAAAGGAGGATTGGAATAGAAGTTGATGAAAACGAGAGAAAATGAAGATAAAGACATTTTGATTTTTTTTTTTAAGAGTAGAAAAAGATAAGAAAAACACGCAGTTCAAATTATATATAAAAGAAAGAATATATTAATAGAAATTAAATCCAAAATGGCGGACCGACCGCTTCCGGAACAAAGAGACGGAGGGGAGGGGAGGGGGGGGAGAAGGGAAGGGAGCAGGGAAATGACTGAAGAGCGAAGGGCAAGATAATGTAGACGAAAGGAAACATAAAGAGAGGACGAGAGGAGGGAAGGGGAGGGACAAGGGAAGGGAGGTATGGGGGGAGGAGGGTGAGAGGGGGGCGGGGGAGGTACAGAGTAAGGGGGATAAGGAGGAGGGTGTGGGGGGAGGAGGAGGAGGAGGAGGTTGTTTGGTGTGACGCGTGCCCTGTTTCCTACCCCCCCTCCTCCCCTCCCCCCCAACACCGAATTCCCCCATGATACCATATGGCGTCCTAATGGGAAGCTGAAACCGGCTCGAGTCAGACAAAAAAAAAAAAAAAAAAAAAAAAAATCTTGGAACTGTGGGGAGGAGAAAAAAAATATTCACAGTGACATCCTTTCTTCGTTTTGTTGTTGTTGTATCTTTTATTTTATCTCCCTCCCCCCCCTGCCCTCTGTTTGCTCAAACGATCTCAATATCTAATATTAGAATATTAATTCCATCAACATTAGCATCAACATTAGCATTCCGGGATAAAGAAAGTCTATACGCAACAAAAGAATGACAGATGCTGTAATTTTCATATAAATCAGATATTAAAGTCAAATCTATTAAGATTATTACGATAATGCAATAATAAAACAATATAGACTGTATAATCAAATATTCATAGCACTGATATAGGCAGGAAATTCTATCTAAAATAATTATTTTATTATCGTAGTAAAGATATTCATGACGATGATAATAGTGATGTTGAAAATAACAACAACAATAACAACAGA